GGGGGGGAAGGGGAGGGGGCCGTTGGGAGGGGGTCTTTATGAGAGGTGTTATGAAGTGTATTCGGAGGAGGATATGGCAGGGGAGTGGACGGTCTTATGTTTGTTTGTGATTGCAACACATAGAACACGTATCGCGGAGGGTCTTCTTATTACTAAATCAATAATTTGTTGTTATTTTTGTATTTTTTTCCCAGATTGCACCAATTTGCGTAGGCGAAGCAGCACCGGTGGAGGCAATGCTGACGAACCAACAGAGCAACAAACCGGGGGTTTTACAAAGAAAATGAAAGATAAACTGTTTCGTTCGGTGGCAAAGGCCTTTGCTTTTTCTGCAGCAAAGGATGCCACGCTGTACCCAACGGAGGACATTTTTTTCACGGCACTGCAAACAACTGCGAAATCGATAGGAGAAGATGTCGAGGAAGGACTACGGTTGCACGTGGCAACGTACGGAATCCGAGCAGTGATCGAGAATGCAATCGGATTATGACAACGGTCCGCGGCGAGATATCTTGGCAATTGAGACATTGGTTTTGGGCCGAAAAAGATCTGCCGCTGGTCCGGTCGGCCCAAACGGACCACCAGCTTCCGACTCGCAACAGGATGCGGGCAGAGATGAAAGGGAACACAACATGGAGAAGGAGCGACAATGATCCATGGGGCGCACCTCCTTTCAAGACGGCACTGACAAAAGTTTTTCAAATGAGAAGGGATGACATCAACCTCGGTGTAACGTTGCAGCAACTTGCATTTGCGGAACTGGTACTGAAAACTGAAGTCGAACAGACGGCAAAGACCAGCAAGGCCGCGGACCAAATACAAAAACTTGCAACTATCAAAAAAGAGATTGCTGCGTCGCTCCGCTCCCGAGACACCGTTTTAAGCTTTTCTGTCTCCAAGCTCAACCGTACTGTTTCTGTTGCAGAGAAGGCCGTCACATTGTACAGAGCCGGGTTGCCTGCTGTACGGAGGGGAGACGCCAATAACATGACTACAACAGATGATGATTTTTAACTTGAGTTCATTGCGCCCACCGACGACAAACGTGCGGGCGGAGAGAGAAACGAAGAAAGTTTGTGCGCAAGGCCGTGAAAAGGAGAAGAAGGGGTCCGGATGTAGATGGACGGGGGTTGGGGTTGGAACATAGGGAGCAGACAGTGGCATCGGTGTTGTAGGGGACATGAGCTGCACCTCCACTCACAGTCAGTGGCATGACACCAAGCCAATGAGGACCAAAATGTAAAATATAAGAGAGAGAGAGAGAGAGAGAGAGAGAGAGAGAGAGAGAGAGAGAGAGAGAGAGAGACAGGGATAGAGTTGTTATCCGAAAACAAAAGACTCTGGAGAACCCTTAGGGTTGAGTGTACAATAAGCAAACATGTTTTATTTAATGAATGGTTTTTGTATAAATCCTGTCGTGGATGTGTTTCGACCATCACGTGGCATTTGCGTCTCGCATCTCACATTACTCACCATCAATTTATTGTTTACATGGTTGTTTGTCTTGCAAGGATACGCACTGCGTCATGTGTAATGTGGCCCCAAATATGCCAGCGTTTCATTATGCAAAAACACAAATCATTTGGTTCGCATTACAGACTCCCAAAAATGTTCAATATGATGTCTTGAAGCAGTATTGAGAACACACTAGAAAACATGTTCATCTTAATACTGGGCGAGAAGTACATGAGTGGTTGACTACTGCGTGCCATGTTTTTGTCGTGCATGTGAGTGATGCTGGAAATTGGCACCCGGTAGCCAACCTGCGTTTCAATATCGTTTTGACACCCCTGTGGACATTTGCCTTTGCAGCTGCATTCAAGGTTCACAGAAGCTACATAGACCCCGGAATAATATAAATAGCAACAGGGCAAGTTTTCTGCCATCATCAGTACGGGAGGGAGAATGWCTCTCTCTCTCTCTCTCTCTCTCTCTCTCTCTCTCTCTCTCTCTCAGACGCCATCTCTCTCTCTCTCTCTCTCTCTCTCTCTCTCTCTTATCATTTAAACAACATTTCATCACATTTAAACAACATTTCAACAATATTTCAACACATTTAAACAAATTGTAAACAACATTACAACAACTTATAAACAGCTTATCAACAACTTTTCATCAATTGAAAAAGTGTTTAATACAGTGTCACATGTTTATGACATATGTTATCAACGTTGAGTTCCTTCACTTTTGGTGGAACACATGACACTACCTCCGGCAAACTATTTATTAACACGAAACCAACAGTTTAAAAAGGGTGCCCGCATATGATAAACTGCCCAAAAAAAAACCCACAATTTTTCTGTTGATTTTGTTACCGAATTACACTTCGGGATTTTAGGGATTCACTTAGAGTTGTTAGCGAGATATATCACGCGGTGTTTTCGTGATTTCGTTATCGAATTACACTTCAGGATTTTCGGGATGAACTTAGAGTTCTTAGCGAGATATATCCCGAGGTGTTTTCGGAGTTTCGTTACCGAATTGCACTTCGGGATTTTCGGTATTTACTTAGAGTTGTTAGTGAAATATATCCCGAGGTGTTTTCGGGATTTCGTTACCGAATTACACTTCGGGATTTTTGGGATTAACTTAGAGTTGTTAGTGAGTTATATCCCAAGGTGTTTTCGGGGTTTCGTTACCAGATTACACTTCGGGATTTTCGGGATTTACTAAAGAGTTGTTAGTGAGTTATATCCCGAGGTGTTTTAAGGGTTTCTGTACCGAATTACACTTCAGGATGTTCGAGATTTACTCAGAGTTGTTAGTGAATTATATCCCAAGGTGTTTTCGGGGGTTCGTTACCGAATTACTCTTCGGGATTTTCGGGATTTACTTAGAATTGTTAGCGAGATATATCCCGAGGTGTTTTCGGGATTTCGTTACCAAATTATACTTCGGGATTTTCGGGATTTACTTAGAGTTGTTAGCGAGATATATACTGATGTGTTTTCGGGGTTTTGTCACTGAATTACACTTGGGGATTTTTGGGATTTACTTAGAGTTGTTAGCAAGATATATCCTGAGGTGTTTTCGGGATTTCGTTACCGAATTACACTTCGGGATTTTTGGTATTTTCTCGGACTTGTTAGTGAGTTATATCCCGAGGTGTTTTCGGGATTCGTTACAGAATTACAATTCGGGATTTTTTGGATTTACTTAGAGTTGTCAGCAACATATATCCCAAGGTGTTTTCGGGGTTTCGTTACCGGATTACACTTCGGGATTTTCGGGATTTACTTAGAGTTGTTAGCGAGATATATCCGAAGGTGTTTTCGGGGTTTCGTTACCGAATTACACTTCGGGGTTTTCGGGATTATCCCGAGGTGTTTTCGGGATTTCGTTACCGAATTACACTTCGGGATTTTCGGGAGTTACTTAGAGTTGTTAGCAAGTTATATCCCGAGGTGTTTTCGGGATTTAGTTACCGA